ATATTCCTCGGAAGTTCTTCCGCCTGATTCTCAGTGTTAGTGATTCTATTCTTTGTTCCTTTTCATGCAAGAAAATAAACCACCTGCACTAGTTTACAATGTTTCTTCCCCAACTAATTTGTATTGTGCACCTGGAAAAAGTGCATTTCAATATTCTGAAAAGATATCAAATGCACATTTTGAAATTCTAATTTCTACCGTGGTAATAGGGATAGATGGTGAGAACTATTTATGGGGTCTTTTTGTGAGGTTGAAAGGAAATAGTGATCCTTGGCAATTTGGTTCAACCACTACTTGATGATCTGGTTTTCCTGGGCATGCTAATGTGCAAGAGCATAAAGGTATATGACCAAACTGTAAATTATGTTGCCTGGGAAAGATATGGCTGATGCTTCTTTGACACAGTTTTGTTTGATTCTTCTTCATTGTTGATCCACTCATCTTTCTTCAGTCTTTGTTTACCTAATTGGCTTGGATACTCTTAGAGATCAATTGTGTAACAATTGCTATAGTTTTTGTCTACTGAGTGATTTATTTTGCCCTGCATTGACAAACGATTCTTTAATAAAATGGAAAGTATAACTACAAGTATGCTCTTTCAAGTACTTTTCAAATTCATTTGATCCCCTGTAAAAAGGACTGACATGATAAAACCTAGTGAGGGTTTTGCATCTGACCCATCCCCTTACTCAGATTTGGTGTGAAAAAGGTTCATATTAAGATATTTAAATACTGTTGCCCTGCGTTATTTCTTAGTAATTTTTTTATTTATAAAAATTGTTATCATCATGAACTTATGAATTGGTGGTTTAGGGTTACTGATCAATGGAGGGAAGTTTAATCTCTGCAACCCCTGGACCTCTGTTATGTTATCTGGTTCCGATAGTTGCACTGCCTTGTGGATAAGAATATAAACTTTTCTATTGCCATCTTCACTTGTAATAATTCTATATCTTGAGAAAGTTGTGAAGCGTCTTCCTCCATCTAATTTGGTCAAAATGATTCCTCACAGGTAGTCAAATCCAGAGGACGGTCAAGTGGACGCTCCAGGTAGCATCTTCATATACTGTGCAGTCATTACATTTTCTGTATCCATTTGATTCTGACCTTATGACTGAAGCGTGGAAACCTGAGCTCCATGATTTGGGAGGATTCAACCGTGCTGGTCTATAACAATACATGATTTTAGTTGAGATGTTGAAACTAGCTCCTGTAAATTAGTCTAACAAACTCTTGCAACCTGCAACTTGCTCTTGAGATGTTGCTTTAAAAAAAAAGTTGCTCTTGAGATGTATCCACTGTCCGCCACATTCTGAATATTGATCTTGAGATGCTGAAACTGAGAATTTAGGGTGCTGATGTGTAAAACCAGGCATATCTGTGCAAGTCCAAATCGAAAGATGGATGTGTTTGCTACTCTGGGTAGCTCACACTGATAAATTGATGCAAGCTGTTGTGAAATGTGATTGTTTTTTCCCCCCTTGTTTCTATTCGTTGGCTTGGCTTGCATGATTCTGTGCCGTGCAAAAAAATTTTGGATGGAGATGCGTGCTCTTCCTGTTTGTGTGGGTTTGCTGCTTGAATACCAAATGACAGAGGTAAGATTGTCGTCTCATCGATTCTTTTTGAAGCTCAAATATGCCATATCCGTCGACCCTTGTGAAGACGATATTTTGCTGCAATGGCAAATGGAACAGGATAGAAATTGTCAGGGACGGGGGCTGAAGCGTACGTTTTTTTTTTTTTAGCAAAGGCTGAAGCGTACGTAAAGACTAAAGACTCGATCAGGAATGGGCCTGGGACGCCGGTCCATGGGTAACTGTCCGTCCCGTCAGCCCAGTGGCCCGGTAGGGAAGAAAGCAGACGGAGAAGGAAGGCGCCGCGTGCGTGTCGTGCTCGACTGCCCGTGCGTCCATGAGGCAACACGTGCGCTCTGAATTCTGAAAGCAGCGACGCCGGCCAAAGGCCAAAGCAGGCGAGGCGTTGTGCTTTCCGTTTCCCAACCCGACGTCGCTGTATCGCAGCTGTCCGTGGCCCCCGGGCACTCGCATCGAGGCAATACGAAGCAAAACAAAACAAACACAACAGCGCAGTGACAGGGAGGTGAGTCGCTGCTGTTCCAGCCTGCGACTGCGAGTGCAAGGAGTTCCGTTCGTCTGCGCTCCATGATAGAAATCTGCGTACAAGTATATACCAACAAAATAATGCTTCTTGTTCTTTATTACATTCTTTTTAGAAAATCAAAATAATGCTGCTTAGTACGGAGTACGTATTTGACAGCCAAAACATGCCTGCAACTAAATATGTACTGTAGTCATGTGTAAATCCGTGTTTCTGGCTCGTCACTCGTCGTGGCCGACTAGCCGAGGCCGGCGTCATCTTTCTTGCTGTCTCAGCCATTTTTTTCTTTTAATGGCTATGATGTTTTCCCGTATCTTTTTCAGCTGCTGGACGGGACGGGACGGGAGGGGAAAATTATTGGCAAAGTACCTTTTTCTCAGGAGCAAACTGGTGCAGTATCATGGAGGGCGTTGACGGGTACTGAAAGGAAGCACGGCACTTGCCATTTGTCACGTCGTATAAAGGCTCTTTTTTTGTACACCATGATGATTGGGTATCTCTAAAGAATTCGTGCGCTGAGGCACTAGGGTGAGAGGTCAGATATTCCGGCCCTTTTCGCTAAAGACGACGACGGACACATCATTCGTGGTGCGATGGATTAGCGTTGTATCATCGCCGGCACCAAGAGTGATCCATCGTACGGTGCAGTTCAACCAGAGATCCACACTTCAATTGGCATGAAGCATTTGGACGGTTGGATGATGCTGTTTGCTAAACTTCAATTGTTAATTATCGAATCATACGCGCAGGGAGCGCCGGAGTGGGACCATCAACATGTTCAGTTGATTGATTCATACCGTTACTAATTTGTTTATATAAAAGAAAAATACTACTACCTAGCTCACGTATCTATGAGAGGGCTGGCCCAGCCCTCCCGATCGGGGCGCGCATTCTTGGCCAGCTGGCAAGGTGGCACGGGGATTTTTTATCTCAGACAGGCGGGCCGCGGGCGGCCGCTCGGCACGCTTCATCAGCGTCTCAGCGTCTGCGCCGTCCATCCAGGGGCCCACGCGGACGCGAAGGGACCAACGGGTGACACACAGCGCCACCACGGACACGTGGGGACCACCACGCGCGGTGCCTCGAGTGGGCTGTGTGCCTGTGTGGGGACTCTGGTCATATGAGCGGGATGGACCGTTGCTGTTAAAAACTCCATTAAACTAACCTGTGCAAATAAGCCGCCAAGTCCTCCGTTTCTCAAATATTCTACAGAAGCTAGTAGGTCATAGTTTCATGTCTCTGCCTATACCGGTATCAATAGTTTAGACAGACTATCAATGATTAAGAAGTATAGTTTTAGATTGTTTGGCACGTAGCCTAGCCATTGCACCATGATAGTCACAATAGCAATATGCTCAACAGCAACAATAATACACGGATACACCAAACTGTAGAAGTTTATCGACATTTGTATACCCAAGGTGGGTAGCAATTATAGTTTAACCAGGTATGGCAGAGAAGAGGAGTATTGTTGTGGTCTATATGTAGTCGGGTGCCAATTAAGCTAAATATACTACACCGATCACCATGACTGAGGCTACGTTTTATGTGTCACTTTAAGCTAAAACTTGAAACGACCATTTGAGACCCTAATCGTATTTCTCATTGAAATAAAACTCAAGGTTACAATTAATAGCCATAGTTCAAAGATCTAGTTTCAGATTCTGACGTAAAGAAAAAAAAATCAAACTGAAAATTTTGAGCCTTGGTTATCTTATGACAACGGCCCCGTTCGCGTGCTCTTAAATCCGGCTTGATCCGCTTATTTTTTCATCCGGAACAGTATTTTTCTCTCACAAATTCCTCCAGCATTCCTCCAAACCATCCAAATTCCTCCAAGCGAACAGGCCCGTAATCTCTCATGTGTTCCAAAGGAAGAAATATATTCATATGTTTAATTTATGGTTGGGCTTGGACAAAAGAAATGTCTAACTCCATCCTAATTACTACAATACGAAGTCCAAATATTACAACTTGTAGTCTTATAAAACAATGTTGAAGTAATATAATATCTTACTTTAAGTCTTACAGTACCGTGTTTTATGGCTAGACAGATGTCCACTTGCTAGTTGCTACTACTACACCCAACGCTGAACATTCTAGTTTAAAAAAAAACGCTGAGGGCCCCTTTGGAATGGAGGTGAAATATAGGAAAAACATAGGATTAAGATTCCATAAGAATGAATTCCTTTAGCAGCCTTTGGATGGTAGAAAATGGTCATAGGAAATCTAAAGGAAACTTTCTTTTTCCTTCAATTCCATAGGAAAATTAGAGGAAAAAAGAATCCACTAGGAGCTCATGGAAAAAATCCTGTGCACGAGGAACGAAGCACACAATGGACTAATGGTTGCTGGTGACGCCTAATCAAGGGAGTAGAATGGATTAAGTAGGTTGGTTAAAGAAAGAAATATTATTTTTGCTCTAAGATTCCTTTAACATCCCTGTGTTTTTCCTTTGACCATCCAAAGGCCTCCTCATGTATTTTCCTATGGTTACAATTCCTATGAAATTAGAGAAACAAGGCACCTCAGTTCTTACAATTTTCCTATTCCTATAATTTTTCCTATCCTATGTTTTAAAGGGGGCCTGAACATTCTTCTCAATCAAATTTGGAACCACTACAGGGTGTTTTCAAGAAAATGACCGATACCGTCTCCGCCTTCCTCTCTTTTGCGCTTAGCTTGCAGACCCTCACGGCCTCCACACCACCGCCCCAGCTCGCTTCCCTCCCCGCCACACGGTCGCTCACCACCCACCACCGCTTCCATGCTCCTCGCCTCGTCTCCCGCTCGCGGAACGTAGCTCCAGATCCTCTCCCCCAATCCACCGCACCGCATTACCCTCAGATCCACCCCCCGAGCTCATTTCAGATCCGCCCATGCGCCTCCCGGTCCTTTTCGCCCTCCAGCTGGTCGCTTTGGCGGCGGCAGCAGCTTCGGCGGCCGAGGCCGCGGCGACGCTCTCTTCGAGGATGGTGCACCGTCTGTCCGACGAGGCTCGGCTGGAGGCGGGCCCGCGTGCGGGGTGGTGGCCGCAGCGCGGAAGCGGGGAGTACTACCGCGCGCTGGTGAGGAGCGATCTCCAGCGGCAGAAGCAGCGGCTCGCGGGCAAGTACCAGCTCCTCTCGCTCTCAAAGGGCGGCAGCACCTTCTCCCCCGGCAACGACTTAGGCTGGTGCGCCTCATTCCCTGCCCCCGTTGGATCTTACGTCCCTTAACTTTTAACTGTTCTACTCCACTGTGAACGTTTATACTGTTGACATTTTGAATTCGTACTACGAAACAGCTAAAAAAATCGGCGTTATTATTATATATATAAAATGATTAATTTTCTTCTACCCGTACGGGTTGCATTGCCATTCTGGTCGGGATAGGCTGTCTTTTACTACTGAGCTAGCCATCTAGGTACTACTGAGCTGTGTTTTACTGTTTTTACATTCGGAGCTAGGAGTATGTGCTTTGCTGCAAAAGTTGTAAGCTAATCTTATTTCATCTACCTTTCGGTGTGAAGGTTATACTACGCTTGGGTGGATGTTGGGACGCCTACTACCTCCTTTTTGGTTGCATTGGATACTGGAAGTGACCTGTTCTGGGTACCCTGTGACTGTATCCAGTGTGCCCCTTTGTCTAGCTACCGTGGAAATCTGGTATGCATCCCCTTTGTTCAGTAGCTTGATGTTAATATCTGAAGATGTCGTATTGTGACACAGCTGTCAGCTTGAGTTGGGACCGACTAGAATCTGTTTTTTCCAAAGACATATTTGACCTGTTCATGCAAAATTGCTGGTGCATATGATGACCTGACTCTTCACATTTCTATTACATAATGCACAAATCTCGGTTGAACAAACTAATACATAACATGCAGTTTGCTTTAATTTCATTGACTATGGAAATTATTGGAAAAAAATGCAAAGTGGTTCTAAACTTGGAAACTAACATGACTGATCTGTGATCTATAAACTTCTCATCATGTCTCTGCAGTCATCTTCAGTTTAAATTTCACTATAGTCACTGTTCTTGGCTGCATGCAAGTTGTGGCGCAAAGTATGCACACCATTATGTGACCCTAAAATACCACATGAAAATTCCATCTACATTTTGATGGAAAGTAATTTCCCAACCGTTCGCGTTCAGCTGCAATTTTGGCAGTTCAATTAAATTTGTGCTACCACCAAAATGGCACATGGGTCATGTTATAAATCTCGTGTATTGGTCCAGTGTAAGTTGCACAAGCACAGCTACAATTCATTGCCAATTTTAGCTATCACCTGAGTGACTGGCTTAGGAGTCCAAGTGGTGGTGTCATGTGTGAACTTTGGTTCTCTTAAATTTTGTTGATTTTAAGTTTCTTCTATTTCTTCCTAACAAGTGCGAAAACAAGAGGAGACTACCATATTTTTAAGCAGTTTAGTGCTTATTTCCAATGATTGATTGGCAGGTGCTCCGTCATAAATGGAGCATCTATTATGCAGGATAGAGATCTTGGAATATACAAGCCTGCTGAATCAACGACAAGTCGGCATCTTCCTTGCAGCCACGAGCTATGCCAATCAGGTTCAGGCTGCACAAACCCAAAGCAGCCTTGCCCATACAATATTGACTACTTTTCAGAAAATACTACCAGCTCTGGTTTGCTAATTGAGGATACACTACACTTGAACTCCAGGGAGGGCCATGTACCAGTGAACGCTTCAGTTATTATTGGGTAATTTTCTGCCGCTTTCTCAGTCAACAGGAACTTTGTACTTTTGCTTCATAAGCAATACTGTTTCCATGGCATAAAGGAGTAATGCTACTTGACAAATCACATTGTCCTCACATGGATCGTTGTTAGTGAACTACATTTCCATTGCTGCACATTTACTGGTGAAGTACTCAATTACTCTGTACACTTTGTAGGTATTGGATCTGTGCATTTGCTTAAGACATTAGTATGTTTAGCCATAGCCACTCGCCCAGTCCTTGCCTTTTGATTTCATCTTGCATTGTTGAGCTTCAATGCAATCTTGTAACAAAATAACTGGAGTTAGAGATGTTGCTCAATAGTCGATTGTCATGATTTGCTGACTTTCTGGCACTTAGTTTTACTGACATAGTGTGTCCTTCGGGTATAGCTGTGGTCGAAAGCAAAGTGGTGACTATCTGGATGGTGTTGCACCGGATGGACTCCTTGGCCTTGGAATGGCAGATATTTCAGTTCCTAGTTTCCTTGCAAGAGCTGGACTAGTTCGGAATTCCTTCTCGATGTGCTTTAAGGAAGATAGTTCTGGGAGAATTTTCTTTGGAGATCAAGGAGTGTCCTCTCAACAGTCTACACCGTTTGTTCCTCTGTATGGCAAACTGTGAGTGGCTCAAAGTGATTAACTTACCAACTAATGCAATCAGTTTTTGCAGTGGTTCTTGAAATTCTTTAAAATGCCACTTACATCTTTCTTTCTTAATTTTCCAGTCAAACCTATGCTGTTAATGTCGACAAATCTTGTATTGGACATAAATGTCTTGAGGGTACTAGCTTCCAGGCCTTAGTCGATAGTGGAACATCATTTACTTCTCTTCCTCCAGACGTTTACAAGGCTTTCACAATGGAGGTGAACATCCATGCATTTGCAGCTCGTTCGTTAATGGATATTTTTCAGTAAATCAGTACTAATTTCATATAAATTTCAGTTTGACAAACAAATGAATGCTTCAAGGGTGCCTTATGAAGACAGTACCTGGAAATATTGCTACAGTGCTAGGTAACTTCTGGCTTCATTTAGGTCTTAATTTCATTTCTCTGATTGTGTTGAAGGAATTCACTGATATGTGAGTACATGCAGTCCTCTTGAGATGCCTGATGTGCCAACAATAACCCTGGCATTTGCTTCGAACAAGAGCTTCCAGGCTATTAATCCTATCTTTCCATTTAACGACAAACAGGTATGTCCTCTTTGTTGGGCAAGGGAAAAAATAGTGTCCTCAAAATCAATCAGCCGAGAATGATGGATAGTCTTGTCAAGTGAACCCTAATTGGCTAATTGTGTCCTTTCGCTGTCAAGCCTAAGCTCCTGAATGGAAATGTGGCTCAGTTGAGCTTGCTTCCGTAACATACTGATACATAATTTGATCTGAGTCAGTATATTTAAAGCCTACATGCACAACTTAGCTAACATAAGTATTCATGTTGCCACATTCGTTTGATCTTAAAGTATGTGCAGGATAAAGGCTTTGTTTAGTTTGCATGACTGGTTTGCCCATAGACCCCTAGAATATGATGTTTTCGTTTTTTATAAATGGCCTATTAGGAGAGGGGATTAGGAGGGTACAGGTTCTGTTAGCCAAATTGTCGCACAACATTATGTAACTTTCGTTCTGATTTGAGTCATGCATTAGCTAGGTTAGGGGCAGGGCGTGATCGATGGCGTGCTTGATCACGACACGGCCCGGTCCAGTTCGGTCAGTCCGCGCCATGACGTGCTCAGCGCGCGCAGCGCGCGCCGCAGTGAAACGGCGTGGCGCACTTTGTGCGGCATGGCGCGGGGGAGGCTTGGTTGTTGCAAGCCCGAGATTGTAGCATGCATTTGTGTATAAAAGCATCAATAACAGACCGAAGGGGCTGCGATGTTGGCAGCGCCAAAAATTCACTTTTCTCGCGTGTGTTTGTTGTGTGTGTTTCCATCTGCTCGCGTTCTCGCCGCGGTCACCGCGCTGTCGCCGGCGTTCACGATCCAAGCTCGCTGTGGTGTTTGGTTCCTACAGGTTCTTGGGATTTAATGAGCGACCCTTTAGCCAAGCCGAGCAGGCAAACCCCCCTCAGTTTTTGGAGAGATAGCTACATTGTATAACTTGTTTTTTCTCTTTGGGCCTAGTTGCCTTGTAATTCCCTGTTTGTAAATAGGGGACTCTACCATTCACATGGAATTTGTCTGTAGCAGCTGATCATCTTGCATGCTGATTTATGTTACAGGGAGCGCTTGCCGGGTTCTGCTTAGCTGTGCTGCCATCAGCAGAACCTATTGGAATTATTGCCCGTAAGTGCCCAAATGAATCTATGCGGTTTGTTCTTTTGGTATTTAGTGTTCATACATACAATATAATTTTCAAATGCAGAGAATTTCCTGGTTGGATACCATGTTGTCTTCGACAGAGAAAGCATGAAGTTGGGCTGGTACCGCTCTGAATGTAAGCCATCTGCCAGAATAGACCAAATTCTAGCATTCACCTGGTACTCTGGAAGTCTTAAATATGGTAACGTCCATTCCTGATTCCTGTGAACGCAGGCCGCGACGTTGACAACAGCACGACCGTGCCGTTGGGCCCATCGCAGCACGACAGTCCAGAGGACCCGTTGCCGTCGAACGAGCAGCAGACTTCCCCGGCCGTGACGCCTTCAACGGCAGGCACGGCTCCTCCCTCCAGTGCAACGACGAATCTACAGATGCTCCTCGCTAGCTCTTACCCATTGCTGTTACTGACAATGTCCACTGTGTTCTTCATCTCATGAACAACTGATATACTACTAATCGATAGCCCTGTATATTGTATGTGCTTTATATATGGTGCCTTTTGTTGCTCTAGAGTTAATCGCCCTGTTCGCTTGGCTTATAAGCTATACTTTTTCAGTCAATGAACAATATTTTTCTCTCACAATAAATCAGCCAACAGTACTTTCAGTTATGGCTTATCAGCCAAGCGAATAGGCAAAATATATCTGCTGTATTTTGCCTCCATTATTGGCCCCTTGGGTCTCCCCTGCCCTGTGCCCCGCGAGGATCGGTCTCGAAGTCTGAACCTTCTCTAGCAAGGCTGTAGGCCCTGCGCATGTAGCAGGCGTCGCCTTGGCTTTTGCCTGTGTCTGATTCATCCTGAATTTCTTGTGCGTGCCTAGTAATTCCCAACTTGAAATGCAGCCATGTAACGTTCAGAAATGGTGCGGGAACGAGCATGCCCTCGCACTCGCAGTCTGCTTGCACATCATCTATCTTCCTTCACACGCATGGGGTGATGGGCATGGCCAAATCCACTTTCCAAAGGTGCAGCGATGCAGTCGATTTCTTGCACACTCCACTCGCCCCCGAAACGCCGGTGCGTGCTCTGCTAGTCTGATTGGCCTACTGCCACACACAACCGCACCACCATTCCACTGCGCTGCACAGCACAACCGTCACATGAGACGAGACCTCGCCGTCCTCGCGCCAGCACACGGCTCCTCGCCTCACTTTCCCCCCTCGTCGTGTTCTCTCTTGTCAGCCTCCAACACAAGACATACCAGCACGCACACCCTCTCCTCTCTCCCGTCCCCTCACTCAGTCACAGTCTATCTCGCCATTGCCTAGCTAGGCTTGCTTAGATGTCAGTATTTGTCACTGTAGCACTTTCGTTTGTATTTGACAATTATTGTCCAATCATGGTCTAACTAGGCTCAAAAGATTCGTCTCGTAATTTACAATCAAACTGTGTAATTAGTTATTTTTTTATCTACATTTAATACTTCATACATGTGTCTAAAGATTTGATGTGACGAAGAGAGAGTAAAAAAACTTGCAATCTAAACAGGGCCGCAGTTCAAACTTGCAATCGAACAGTTCCTGCCGGGTGCCGGCCTCGTACATACAAAGCCAGACAGTGTCCCTCCAGAGCCCAGAGTAGCCTAGCTAGGCTCCTTCCCTCACTTGCCTGCTCCACATTTTACAGCTCACAGAGGAGTTCACCCATCAACCAGCTTGCTGCATTCCCCATGGGAGGCGCCATGAGGCAGCTGCTTAGCTTTCTGGGAGCGATCAATGGCCGCCCCAGGGAGAAGAAGAAGAAGATGACGCTGCAGAGGCGCCTGGTGCAGACGGTGGAGCTGAGGGTCAGGATGGACTGCGAGCGCTGCGAGCGCGAGGTCAAGAAAGCGCTCTCTGGCATGCGAGGTTGGTCATCCGTCACTTTGGTCCCCTGGCCCCTACGCATTCGCACCAAGTTTTCGTTGCTCGCTAGCATTGCGCCCTTGACCATGTCTCTTCTCTTCTGTGCCCTGGTGATGAGCTCTCTGCACTCTGCACTCACTGAGTCAGTCAGTAATGACCATCATGTCCTTTCAGCACAAGCTTTTCCCAGCATACCTTTTTTTTCACTGCAATAATGCAGCAGCATATGCCGACACCTAATGACCTAACATTTGAGCGACACTAGCGAAAGAAGTTCCACTTCGAATCGAAGTGCTTTCGTGAAGAGAAGCCCAAATCTACAGCGGTGATTAACAACTCTGATGAAGCTGCCGCCGCCTGCAGGAGTGCAGCATGTGGAGGTGAACAGGCTGCAGCAGAAGGTGACGGTCACTGGCGAGGTGGACCCGGTCGCGGTGCTGCGGAGGGCCCAGTCCACGGGGAAGAAGGCGGAGCCGTGGCCCGGGCCGGGGCCCCAGAACACTGCCGCCGGCTACTACGCCCCGTCGGCCGCGGCCCTCTACGGCATTGGGGCGGCCCAGCTGCAGGCCCAAGTCGGCAGGTGGGCCAACCCAGCTGGCTACTACTACTACCCGTACCAGGTCCCGGTGATGGAGGCGGCCATCGGCGCCGAGCAGATCACCAGCCTGTTCAGCGACGACAACCCCAACGCCTGCTCCGTCATGTGACGCCTACGTGTGTTTTTTCAACACAACAGTTCAGTTTATCAGGCTCGTGGTTTAGCAGATAGCAATCAGGAGTAGCTGTAGTGTGGCAGTAACTACTACTATAGCTAGTAAGGCTGATGATATGGTGGCAGAGCATCGTCACTGTAAAAATCTCGTGAGGTTTCTATGTGCTTAAATTAGGGAAGCATGCAGCAGAGTTTAGGACTACTACGTGGTTAAATTAGGGAAGAATGCTTAGGTCGATTGCACTGCACACAGAGCAAAAAGCAAACCTGCCATTGATAAATTCCACGTACTGATCTATGTGCTTAGATCCCTAACCGTTCTTTATGCTGCGATCAGGCAGTGGAACATGAGATCAGCTCTGAAGGTCAATCTCAATCTCTCTCTGTCTGTCTCTCTCACAGGCACACACTAGCACTTCAATCGATCTCCCACTCTCTCTGGCCTCCTTTGAAACGCTGTGGGAAAGCAAGGCGATGGATCATGATTCATAAGATATCTGAAAAAAAAACTATGATCTCCAGTACATAAAGCGGTCCGAGAGCAATGGAGTTCGGTGCACGGTGACACCATCAGGTTCAGACCCATGGCAGATCCCAAGGGTGCATGCTGAGGTAAAACCGGCTTTTTTCTGCTAGTAGTGCGAAGCCGCCTTTTGTAGGCTCACACTCATCCCTGCGCCTGCGCTGCGCATCTAAAAATCGCCATCCATTGCCCTTGGTGCATGCACTGCAGACGCCCTCATGGCTGCATCTCCGTGGTACAGCTAGACTGGAAGCACGGAGCACGGTGGTGTGCCGGCCTGCCGGGTGGGTTGGCATCGGCAAGGGTCTCTGAAAGTTCAAATGGGTTTGGCAAAAGTTGTGTGCTCTGCTCGCCCACCACTATGTTCGTCAGTTCGTGTGCGGTTCAGTCGAAAAACTTGACCGGCGGGGGCGATGTGCTTTGTTGCAGTCAATCTGCGAAAGACTTGACCGGCGGGGCGATGTGTATGTTGCAAGGGGTGGAATGGAATGGAATTTGTTAAAATGGAATGAAATGGAATTTACTCGTTCAATTCCAATAAATACGTGCGCATCAAAACAAGGCTATTGTGTAGACCCGTCCTCGAATGCGAGCTCACGAACTTGCTGTGGTGAGTCACCTGATCAGCTTTACTGGAAGATTGGCGCCAAACTGGTCCCAGGATATTGCCAGTGCATGCTGCCTTTGTTCGTCGGTCTCAATTCAAAAATAAAAATCCGAACAACACGATTCTTTCCTACTCTGATTGGATGGTCCCAAACGATATTATCACTTGATATCTCCTGTTGTCCTATTCCTAATCCAATATGTTTCTATATGCTCAAAAAAAGCATGTCTTTTGCAATATACGCAGTGATATTTTGGCATGTATACCAACAACACGGTCCGTTAGTCTCGGAATAAGATTTCAGCTTCTTCGCCGAGTCGTCGATACGGTGATGATACGAGAAATCCATCAGGTCTGATCCCATCGCGCTCTCTTCCGTTCATTAGAAAGAGGCCGCATGCTCTGCGCTGATAGTGGGAGCTAAGCCAGCCAGCCACCGGGCACTTCGCTTTCGTCACACGCGGCATTACGTTACGGCCTTACGGGTTTTGTTTGGACGTACAAAACAAAAGTGGACGGAAAGAGGGCCTGACGGCCCCGTTCGTTTCGCTAAAAAAACAAATCAAAACATGGTTCCGATTAATTCGCTGTGAGAGAAAAATACTGTTCCGGTTAAAAAAACGAGCTTAAAAAAACGGATTATAAGAAACAGGGCCAAAGCAGGGACCATGGGAACTGTAGGAGGAAGGAAACGGATCGAGGTGACGTGTTCCCGTTGCCTGATGGCGGCCCTGATCCGCACACTAACGTGTGCACTTCTCGTCGGTCGCTAGAGATCACTTGGTCTTAGTTTTTTCGTTTTCGTTAACAGGCGGAGGGAGCCTTTTCCGATGTAGTACTAGTGGTGAGAGCATAAATTTTGGCAGCCCCAGGATATTTTGAGCGATATCTTGAAAGGCACTGGACGAAGAATCTCTCGGCAGATTTTTCCTTCGTTCCTCAGGGCCTCCAGCACAGCACGTTGATCCAACGCGCAACCGAGCCGTTTTGGTTGGAGGTACACACGGCATGGCTCAGCTGAAAAAATTCAAACAGTTTTTAAGGAGCAATCGTAGATTCACGACTGCTGAGGAGACCGTCTCGGGGCAGCATGGCTCGAGCCGCGCGATTGGAGACTGAAACAGAGCGGGGGCGGGGACCAGTGGTGGAGCCAGAAACAAAACATAGAGGGGCTAATTTGCCAATTAAACCTATAAATATATAGGTAGTGGAGAAATTAGTCTTAGTAGTTACTACTTATATAATCAGACCACACTAAACAAAATACAGTTAACTGTGTGGTCTATTTTGTCCATAAAGACCATCACATATATATACACACCTCAAAATACATGTAACATATAGATAGAACTATCGTTTGTGAATAGTTCACTCTCCTTTTCTTTAAATCTTGAAAATCAGAAATTATGTCTTCATAACTGTAGCCTCTTGCAATTTCACCTTCTATGTGTACTAGCAGGATGTTAGCAAGAAATTCGTCTTCCATCTTGTTGCACAACCTTGTCTTAATGATCTTCAATATAGAAAAGACACAATCAGCACTAGCTATTGAAACAGGGAGAGTAAAAAGCAACCGAAGCAATCTATCAATCAGGTTATGAGTCATATGGCGTCCGGTGTCAACAAGGCATCGACATAGATCAGCTATGGTTGTGATATTTTTTAATTCTTCACTGCTGGAAGCATCAATAACAAAATGGTTGAGATAGGTTTCTAATCCAAGCCTTTCTTGTTGGTTAAAATCTGCCGGTAGTCCTTCTCAGCCATTTTGCATACTACCTCGCTTGCATCGAAAGATGCAAATATGTTTATTAGTATTAGTGTAACACACATAGACACGGAGGCAAGGGGGCCGGGCCCAGCATGGCCCCAATGTAGCTCCGCCCGTGCCGGGGACCCTACCCTCGCCACGGCGCGACGTCCTGGCCAACCGCGAAAACGATCGAGCCTAGCGAGCCTCAGAAAAAGATGGGCCAAACGGGGAGATCGACGGAGCAACGCATGGCTGGCCAGCTGGCGGCTGCTCTGGAACTCTGGTCCTCGGGCTCGCGTGCGTGCGCGGTCGTGGCGGCCGCCGTACCCGCCTTTCCTGCGGCCGCCACGAAACGGTTGAGGCCTGGTTTAGTTCTCAAAAAATTTCACCCAAAACTATCACATCAAATCCGAGCGTCGTGGAGCCTAAATAGAAAAAAAAAGACGGGTTGGAAATCGCGGGACGAATGTTTTCGACTAAGCAACCCATGATTAGCCATAAGTCTTGCTGAAGGCTGGCATGCGCTCTGGAACTCTGGTTTCGGGCTCGCGTATGTAATTAGTTTTTTTATTCGTGGCATTTCTAATATCTTCAAAATATCCAATGTAACATCTAAAAATTTTCATTTCACAAACTACACACAGGCTGACACGGGGTCAGCTGCCCCCGCAGGTTGGAGCCATCGCCCATCGCGCATCGGCCACCACACCACAGAGGCACAATTGCACAAACAACCGCAAATACGTGCGCTGCGGCGAGGGCGACGGGTTTGGCGTGTCTGCTGCCGCTGCCGCTGCCGCTGCCCGACACCTCGTCCACGCGGATATCGACCTCGCCTCGCACGCAGCACCGGCTGCCACGCGTGCGCCCACCGCTCAGCGCGGTCAAGCCATCGCGCCTGCCGGGCTTCCTGCCCGTGAAGTTTTGTGCCCCGCGACGTTCCGCGGACGCGCTTGTTTCTAGTGATTTGCGGTACGTGTGCCGCCGCAGGCTTTGGCAGGGCTTGCAACAGAATCGGATGTTTTTTTCCTCCTGAAATTTGGTTCGACCTGAGTTGAGTTATGGCATGTATAACCCATAGGGCAGGTTCAACGGTGGTTTACGAGCTAGTTCAAAACATATATTATTTCATATATAAGAGAAAAAAAGCTTTATTTTCATTAATAGTAGGTGGTCGCCGAGCACGCACTGCGCCTCATTCCGGGCTCAAAGCCCGCCAAGCAGCGCCTGCGTCGCTTCGACGACGAGAGACGTAGGGCCATAGACGAAGAGATCGCCAAACTCCTAGCAGCCGGATTCATCAGAGAGGTATTCCACTCTGACTTACTTGCCAATCCCGTTCTTGTTAAAAAGAAGACCGGAAAGTGGAGAATGTGCGTTAATTATACTGGCCTCAACAAAGCGTGTCCAAAGGATCACTTTACTTTGCCGCGCATAAACCAGATAGTCGACTCCACCTCGGGTTGCGAGATCCTCTCATTTCTGGATGCCTACTCAGACTATCACCACAATGAAAGAGTTTGATCAGCTCGCAACCTAGTTCATCACCCCGTATGGTTCGTACTACTACGTAACCATGCCATTCGGCTTGAAGAACGCTGGCGCCACCTACCAAAGATGCATGCAACAATGCTTCGCCGACCAAATCGACCCGCTCGATCAGCCTGACCAAACCGAGCGGCCAAGACCAACGATCGCCGTCTATGTTGATGACGTAGTGGTCAAAACAACCCAAGCCTACTACCTGATCTGAAACTTGGCCGCAACGTTCACGAACGTCCGAAGATTCAACATCAGGCTGAATCCAAAAAAATGTGTTTTCAGGGTTTCAAAGTGGAAGCTGCTAGGATACATTGTGTTCGAGCGCGGCATCGAGGCCAACCCCGAAAAAATCACGGCCATCTCCAACATGGGTCCCGTACGCAACGTCAAGGGCGTGCAAAGGGTCACCGGCTGTCTGGCTACCCTAAGTCGATTCATCTCCCGACTCGGCGAACGAGGGATGCCACTCTACAAGCTCCTCAAAAAGACGGACACTTTCGTCTGAACTGAGGAAGCCCAGCAGGCCCTAGAGAGCCTCAAAGCGTCCCTGACGTCAGCCCCGATCCTCGT